ACTGCACTTTCTCTATCTCTCTCTCTCTCTCTCTCTCTCTCTCTCTCTCTCTCGATGAACTCTCTTTGTAATTATGATCAGGTATATAGTATAGGTATATGCATTAAAATAATGCGTCAACTCTCTCTGAAACCGACCTTAAATTGGATGAAAATCGAATGGAATTTCATGAAAATTGAATGAAATCGTTTGGAAATTGAGTGGGAGACTTGGTAATTGGCAATTAGGGCTGCAGCCATCCAATGGAAGTCATTATGCAGCTCGAAGGGGAAGAGCTGTAGGTGCAGTATGAGAGGGAGGATGCATAACAGCAGCTGTTGCTGGAGGTCATTATGCATATCGAAGAAAAGGAGTAGGAGTGGAAGGAGCAGTTGGACCAGGAAAAACTGGAGAAAGCAGGAGCTGGACGTAGCAGGAGATGTGGGATCAGCAGTTGATATAACAGCAGCTGCAGGAGGAGATGGAGAGAACCAGGAGGAGCAGGAATAGGCAGGAATTCTGAACAGCAGGAGTATGCATAACAATAATAGAAGGATGAGAAGAAGCTTGGAGCAAGTGCTGGCAGCAGCAGCAGGAGCAGCAGCGCTCACCCGAAGTGAGAGCAGAAACAGGTTGGAATTTGAGGAATGGAACCTGGCACATCAGCAAAAGGAACAAGAGCCAGCTATAAGAGCAGCAGGAGCAAGGCAAGGCAACAGCAGCTGCTGCTGGAGTCACGGCCCCACGCACAAATGCAGTTCATTTGCTTGGGTCCTTCATATTTGGGACAATGTCCTGGCCAAAGAGAGTCGGCCGGCATTTGTTTTGGCTGCTCGGCTGTTTAGTTATGTTTTGGCTCGGCTCGTGGCGCTTGTTTGGACAGTTGTTGTTTAGGTTGTTCAACCCGCTACAGTGGCAACTGGCTACGACGACATGTTGACTGAGTGCCGCGCTGCCATTCGCCTCCGCCTTTGTTTGGGGTTCTCGCTTCTGCCGGGTCATGACAGCAGCCATTTAAAAGCTAGCCAAAATCAGAGCCAACAGCAGCTCCAGCGGCGACACGTGCCGCACGATGATAACATGGAAATCCTGGCAAATAAACTGCAGTGTAATGCGAACATGTTACACACAGTGTCACTGTACACTGAGCGAAACGTGTTGAAAACTACGAAAGGAGTAAGCGAAGAAGTGCGGGAATGCCAATTGAAAGAAGTCTTTGGGAGTACAGAGAGAAGGAATGAAAGTTGATTTAAGGAAATGTTATAAAGAGCGAAATATTATATGAGTAAAAGAGAAGAGAGATAGACTAATAGACTAATAGATAGACATAGACTAATAAATACCCTGAACTAAAGCTAAAGAGGACAAGGAATACAGATGATTACTCAAACGAGATAACAGATGAACAAACAGAAAAGACGAGAAATGCCTTAGCTACAAACAAAATCTAAGAGATCTAGTATATAATCTACGACAGGCAACCTCCCTAAAGGAATCACATATATGTAGATCCACAATCTCTTGCATAGCTGAACTTTCGTCTAATGGATAGGCTTACATCATTCAATTACAATCGAATACAATGGCCACAGGTTCACTTTCGAGGTCAGCTAACTATAGTTACCCCATATATTATTCATATTTCGCAATCAATACTCAGTTTTCGCTCAGTGCAGACGCACTCGTAAAGCACACAGCAGTATAGCTAGTACTTAGAACCCCAGGGGAGCGATTTTGGACAGCAGTTAGGCGCATAACATGAGCCATCATTTAGACGACGAACAGGGGTAAAATGGGGATATTATAGAGAGGGGAAGGCGCACTACGGAGAGACAGCGGGAATGAGTGAGGAAGTAAGGGAGTAAGGGAGAGGGCAGCAGCTGACATTTTCAAAATTTAACTTGTGCAATTTGCATGAGCCGCAAGTAAAAGTAAAAAGCGATACTTTTGCCACAACTTTTTCTCAGTGGCCATAAAGCAGCAGCAACAGCAACAGCAAACAGGGCGACCAACAACAGCAGCAACAATGGTTATACATTCACAATAAGCACGCGTCCTTTGTCCTGCGCACGACACACATTCGGCACAGGTTGATACCCTGGATTTGCCAATGAGCGTGTAGATTGTTGTTGTGGAAATTGAAGTCTGGATGGATCAGTATTTAAAAGTCATTCGTAAGCTATTGATTAGACAATATATGAGCGAGGGATGTATGGAAAATGTGAATAGCTTAATGCTCTATGTCTGAATATATATTTGAATATATGGAATAGTCTAGTCTAATAAAATATCATCAAGGGTGTCTCGCATTTAATCACTCCCAATAATCGCTCTCATACTTAATATTAGACATTTTTTAGAGTTAAAAGCAATTTCTTTAGCCTTAGGTATACAACCAAACAAGTCCACAAGGGTACCTCCCCGTCTATCACTCCCAATAATCGCTCTCATACTTATTATTTGTCGTCTGGCTGTCGTCTAAGCTGCCCGCAATGCAAACAGACACGTGCAACACCCACACACCTAGAAGCTAGCGACTTATGGGGGAGTGGGGGGGAGTCGTAGCTGCTGGGGTCACAGGGTGCTTTGCATGTGTTAATGATGGATTGTTTACCAGTCGAGTTCGAGTCCTTGTGGAAACGTTTTCTAATAGCTGGCGAGCGTCGCTTCGCTTTGCTGTGGCTTCTGCTTGCTCAGCTGTGCAACCCCCAGCAGCGACAACTAAAACACAATTTGCATAAACTGCGAAATACTCTCTCTACTCCCCATATACCATATATACGTACATATATATCTTGCCAAATTTTCAACCTTGCTGCGTTATTTTTGGCAGCTCTTTTCGGGCACGTGATTTCATTGCAACAATTAATTTTGTGCAGCTCATTAGCCAAACAATTTTGGTCTGGGCATAGCACGGGGCCAGTTGGGGTCTTCCTTTGTGTTTAGCGGAAAATACGCATTTGAAATTTTCCATTTTGGCTTTATGCGGCAACAAATTGAAGTTAATGTTTTGGGTTTCTCCGGCAGTTGGGGCTGGGTCTCGGCTCTGGTCTCTTTGACTGGCTTTATAAAAGTTAATGGCCTCGCTAGATAGCTAATGTGCGCCACAAGTACAGCCGGAGGGTTAAATCCTGAAGGATTCAACTGCGCAAATAGCCCAAAAGGCGAGCTGCAAAGTTTTGGGTGGCTTTATGAAAGCTATAAAGGCTGCATATGAGGAGGGACTGAATTTATGTAAAATAATATACGTCTTGGAATATATCAAAGTTTATCAAGAGCAACATAAAATATATATTGAAGGCGAAAGTATTTATTTCATGGAAAGTAACGAGCATGAAAGAAAAATTATTGACAGGCGCAAATCATTTGAGTTCTATCACAGCTCTGAGACTCTCAGCTACATCAACTTTACAACACTGACCACATTGACAACACTGACAACTATGACAATTGTGTCTCTGTCATACTAGCATTTGTCATCTCACATGAATTAACTAAAAAATATTTCTGCAAAAGTGTAAATAAAAAAGTGAAAGAAAACATGGATCAGGACAAAGCAGAGCAGGAGCCAGATGCTGGCTCGGGCTCGTCCAACGAGGATACCGACGAGGATGTGGACATTGAGGATATTGAGGAGAGTCCACGTGGACGCAAGAGTGTTAGCGCCATTATAGCCGAAATGGCCATACGGAACGAGCAGGAGGCGGCCAACAGCAGCAGCAATGCGCGCACCCAAAAGGAAGACGATCAAAAGCGAATGGGTAAATGAACTGCAAACGCAATCAATATCAACTACATATATACAAGTATATATACATATATATGTATATGTATATCTTCCAAATAGAGTTAGCTCGTCTCTCACCGGCTGCCATGGCCGCCTACATACGTGAGCTGGAGGCGGAACTGTACGAGCTGAGCCAGCGGGAGGCGCGGGAGCTGTCGCGCAGCAAACACCTGCGCATCTTTGGCAACAATCGCAGGCGCTCCAGCAAGTGAGCAGAGCGGCCAGTAGGGGATTACCGCTGCCTTATACGCTCGTATATCAAATAAATGACCATCGATTGAATGAAAGTAAACATAACTCCAGTTTCTAAGTAGCCAAACGGTGTGGCATACATGTTGAAATCCGCTTACAGGGCTTAATTTCCTGACTTGGACAGACAACGTCATCAACATCATCATCATCATCGTCATCCTCGACGTTGTCGTTGTCGTAGTTGTCGTGTCCATTTGGCACAGCGGACATTACACATCCGCCGGGTGCTTATTTAGTAGCCTCAGCAAACACGCAAATGCACAACTAATGGCAATGCCAACTGGACCAGGGAATGAGAGTTGGGACTGGGACCGGGACTGGGACTGGGATTGGAATTGCAACTGGAGTTGAGAGCGTCGAAAGACTCGAGTAGGAGCTCATCGACATTTGATTGGGGAGCGACGCAGCGCTTCACATTGTGGGCTTAGTGCCGTCGTTTCTGATACGCTTGCATAGGGTATTACACTCTTTCTGATGAAATATGTCAGCTGAGAGAGGGAGGCAAAGAGAGAGAGAGAGCGAGTATAGGGTATGAAGAGGCATATGACTACGTAGGTAAACTTGAAGTGCATATGGAGATGTGCATAGATGGATGATTAAGATTTTCAATTTATCCATTTCTGATTCCTAAGAAGGATCTTTTGACTGGACTAGTTTGGTTTTCCTTAATAGTTCATCTGCTGCTCTTAAAGTTAATAAAGGCTTGAAGAAAATGAAGTCGAAAACGTATAGATATATATTTATGCATATATAGACTTGATATAGCTGATCCCTAAACCGCTCAGTTGAAAAGATCTTGTTATTATTCGATGGCATTAAAATCCCTATATTATGAGAACTTCTCTCTTCTCACACTATCCTCATTAATTACCATATAATGTCAGGAACTGTGGCTCCATATCAACTTAATATATCATACAGTGCTCTACAAAGGCTCTTCAAATCGAGCTATACAGCAGATCGCTCCAGGCTTCTTCAAATAGGGCATGCAAAATTCGTCAACTCCTTACTTCAGTCTTGTTCGTTCCCTTTTGTTTTCCTGTTTGCGGCTATGCGTGGCTCAACTCTATCCCATTAGTAACTCAATTCAAAGCAAATAGTCGCAATTTTATTACTTGGATTTGGGCTAATTCTAGATTTCCTGCTTGGAGCTGCTTCTCCTGCTGCTGCTCGTCTCTTTGGGGAGTTGAACTTGAGTCCTTAAGTTGATTAAATTTCACGCGATTTGATTCGATTTTCAATTATGCGAAACCGCAGCGTCAAAAAATGCATCAACTCGATTATGGTAAATAAAGCGCCAGGAAAGGCACTTCAGCTTTTGGGGTTGTGCTCGCTCGCCCATTTACAACTTCCTGGTAAACCCTTTCCCGTTCGAGGCAAATTGCAGTTGGAGCGAGCTGGGGAACTACGTCTGTAGAGTGAGCGAAGGTCCTTGTCAAAATAAATGTTGTCACCGACACGGTGGTTGCGGGTGCAAATGGTTGTCATCTTCAAAAGGAATCCCTCAACAGCTCAGTTCAGTTCAGTTCAGTTCAGTTTTTCGCCCGATTTGGGGTTTGTCAAAACATAGCATTACCCGTCCGCCCCCCAACCGACGCTGGAAGGGCGCAACTGAATGCAAAATGTGTCCAGGATTTGCTTTTTGTTAATTTCCATCCCCCAAACAAGATGGAATGTACAATATGAAATATTTAGGGGTAAGTTGAAGCTAAGGGTAGCTCCGGCCTAATAGAATATGCTCATTATGGGATTTGTGCTTGAGTGTGTTTCAATGTACATAACTCAAACTAAATGATTATAAATGAATTCATAATCTAAACAACACCGCAAGTATTCAAATCACAATCCAAGCCGTGAAAGGATTTCATTTAGTTGAGTGCCACGTCTCGGATTTACGTCTCCAAAAATCTTGTCAACTGGAGTTGGGCGCTCGCAAGTTGGAGTTGAAAGTGCGCAGTTTCTTCATTCATGAATAAATGAATGCATACGATAAACTTTTGCCTTGTTCTCAGGCATTACAGAGCTGCTACTTACTACCGTTACTTTCTCTTACATTGCATTCACTCACTCGATTGCATCTTGACAACTGGGAAAGTTTTGCCTGGAGTTGCTGACTGACTTTAAGATACCTGCACCTGTATTGTTGTATAATGTGTAGTGCGGGCCTTCAAAGCGTGGCATTACATAATAGATACATGTATATACAAACAACAGAGTTTCCTACTTCTATTTTTCTATTATTTCCTTACAAGTCTCCCCTCTTCTTTCTCTTACTCTAACTGCACTACTTTTCGTTCCATCTTGTTTTCTGTTTTTCTTAAATATTTTTCTCATATCTGAGTTTACTTTTCTAATATAGCTTTTCTCTGTCTTTGTCTGCCTCTATCGCGTTTCACTTGTCCTCATCATAATTTTATTTATTTTCTGCTAATATTCACTCTTCCTTTTTCATATCTAAATTTTCACTCTCTCTGTCACTCTCTCTCTCTCTCTCTCTCTCTCTCTCTCTCTCTCTCTCTCTCTCTCTCTCTCT